AATAATAATAATAATAATAATAATAATAATAATAATAATAATAATAATAAAGTGTCAAATTGTACAAGTGCTCCAATGAAATCTAACTTTCCCATCTGTTTCTGAACCATACAAACAATGACAGCAATTAAGCATCTCCAAAAGCGACCACAACCCCCCGTGTCCTGCACAGATGTGCTCTCCTCCTCATCTGCTTTGTTTAACCTTGCCTGGCAACCTTCTATATCCGCCCACTAAGGTCATATAGCATGTGTCCTGTTCCCATGAACTGAGGAAAGACAGAGAGATAGATTGCTGAGCTCGTGGCTACTCGCAGAACGTGTCCTTTTAAAAGTGTGAAGATGGTGCTAAAATGATGATGCACATAGCCACAGTGCATTAAGTGAGTGTGCACTGATGCATGGCTTCTGACAGTCGTTCCAGTTTAAACTTCCAAGAAATATCTTTGCACGGTTTAAGTTGATATCAATTTGAATGTATGATTCAAGAGGAGTGTCTGATTGCAATGTCCTAAGTATAAGGAATACATATAATGACAGGTAAATCTGTATAAAGGATAAAATTGGTCTTTGGATGTTTTTTAGGTCTTTGTATGTATTTCACCTGTTCTGTGCACTCAGGGGACATGGAGCTTTCTTTACACTCAACCGAAAGGGAAAGAAAGGGAAAAGGAGCAGAGGTGGCACTGTGAAAGATGAGACATGAGCGAGAAAGTGAAATGAGTGTGTTCCCTGTGGATGACGAACAAACCAGTACCAGGCCTGTCACCCTGGCAGTGTCAGTCCCCTTTATCAAGCATCTGTCCTCTAAGCTCTGACTCTGGCCAGGGACAGAAAGCCTTCACTCTGAAACATATGTGCCTTTATAAACTGGCATAAACTCAGGAATAGATTGTGCCAGATAGTTTTATGAGGGTTAAAATACAAATTTAACAGGTGTGTGTTACATGTGCTGAAATGAGATACATCATTTTGCAATTAACACAAAGCATCTTCTGCACTTTACATAAAAAATGTCAAAATGTGTGAGACATAACATAAATGTGAAATAGCTCAGAGAGAACTCTAAAATACTGTGGTAAACAGGCCATCAAAATAGTTAAGGCTGTTTTAACATTAAATGTCTAATGTAAACTCTTGGAGAAATTGGACTGAATCTCCATCTCATTTAATCTCCATCTAATCTCCATTTGGACATGAACTGTATAGATAAACATTTGAATGTAATATTTGACTTGTATGTATTGCATTTTTCTTGTAAAAACTCCTTTACTCTGTGTTTACATTTGAATTTTCTGTTACATCTTAGTAGTGGTAATATAGATTGACAAGATGACACGGTGCGTTTCCCTCTTAGTCACAGAAGAGATTAAAAATGAGGGCAAATGAGTGGAGCCATAAATGCATTTTGTGCTGTCTGCACTCTGTTATGGCTGAGAAGCAGGCAGGTCTTCCACACATTAGTCTGAACCTGCTGTGGAAGCCCTCGGTGAGCAGGATTTCCTCCAGTTTGAGGAAAGCAAAAAAAAGAAAAATTAATAGAGTCTGCATGGATGAGCTTTTCTAATGGAATAATTACAGTTTCCTCGGAGATGTTCACTAGTGATAGACAGTAGACGCTTTTGTGTGGGCCTGAAATGCAGCACACCGGTGAGTCTCATGGCTCACAGCACACACTCACATCTCCACTCAGTGAAAAGACAAGCTACGCCCAGCTGAAAATGACACATACTCTAAATCTGGCTTTGTTCTTGAGACTTTGTTTTGCAGGCTGGAGCTCCAACTGTCTCTTGTTGCTATGGTCTTTGCTCACGCTAAAACTGGCAGCAGGCTTGGCAGACAAATTAAAAGAAAAAAAATCCAATAAAAAAAAAAAAAAACAGCTTTCGTCATGTTGAATCACTGTCAGCTATGTGAAAATGGATCTCTTGGCAGGGTTACCCAAAACCAATGCTGCCTATTTCTAAATCTTTTAAAAAGGTTGTTGTGATGTTAACTACATGGGAGCAAAAGTGTCAGTCGAGAAAGTTACCTGAGTAGTGTGCTGTAATTAATGTGCTTAGGTCGAGTCAGGTTTAGTTGTAATTAAAGAAGGTAATCGACATTTAAGGGAGAGAGAAAGACAAAGGGGAAGCAATATGATATGAGTCAAGATGTAGTTTGTAATTATTTAATCAGTTGTGGTCTATAGACAACAAGCCTTCTATACAAATTTGTGAAAACTGGTATCCCCTTCCACTCCAGAGTAAAAAAAAGATATTGTTGCTTAAATTAAACTTGGAAGTAAACTTCAGGCAGGTGTTACTCATGGGACGTATGCTGGTTTCAATCACAAAAAGAAAGCTTAAAGCTTGGCTTCTCCTTCCACACTCCCATCTCCCCCTTTTGGGGCTTGGGTGTTGTATGCACTAAAGAAGATTGTAATGGAAACTCTAAATATCCTTTATCATTATTTGCAGAATTCAGACAGCTCTTCTCATGGCTGCCACTTCACCTTAGAATAATTTTGTTAAATAAAGAACACTTTCAAGGAAAACAAAAAAACTTGTCAACCGGACCTTTAGACTTGATGCCTGATACAAGTAGATGCTAAGCACCGGTATCTGCTGTCTGCTAATTAGCATTCACTAATTCTCCTGTCTCTGATGACCTCTCTCACCAGCTGACCATGAAGACCAGATGTCAGTCGGTTCCAGTGACACGATTGGGTGGCAGTACTGAGTGGAGAGAGTTACTTGGTCTGCTTACCTGAAACGGGAGACGCCTGTTCCCGTACCATAAGCCTATGTGATGCATCATCAGCTCTACTCTTCAGTTTCAGTGCTGAACATTCAATTACACTGAAGGCAGACAAGTCGGACATCCGGGTGCAATCTAATGAAAAGGGGCTGCCAAATAATTCAGAGGGACAGTTAGACTATTTAATATACAGCCCTCCTTCAAAACCTCAATACTGTACGTATGAAATGTATGATATGAATATATGATGTATATATACCGTGTATTAGATATATAAGGGATTATTCTTGTGATAAGTGATTTATTACTGTTTAAAATGGGCATAGTTTATAGTTCTTTAACAGAGACTTTTCAAATGTTATGTCTTCTATCGTTTTTGTCATTATTATGTTTTTGTTATTATTTTTGAAGGTATAACTAATCTAAAATCAGTCTGGAAAACCAATGTTTCTTATTTTAATCTTAATTCATCTTTCTTGTGATGTCAAACAATCCGCTGCAGCTTATTTGCATACAACTTCAATGGTTTCTTCAATGCAAAAAAAAAAGAAAAGAAAATAGGATTTATTTTCATTTCAGCTCTCTTTAAGTCTAAACTAAAACAATACTTGTGGTATGGATGCAATTTCTACATATCAGGCACTTTTAGGGAAATCCATGATGTCAAAAGAAGTGGACACAACACGGACTATCTCTTCCAATGCACACAGCTGTTCACATAGAAACAGAATTTTTAAAAAGGTTTTAGGAAGATTTATAACAAGTCAATCACTGTAAGATGTTTTTTGGGGAATGTGACCTGAGTAACATCCAGACAAATGGAGAGTAGAAAAAATGAATATGACCCAATCAAAAGAATCCACATTTTAAGTAGAAAAAACAAAATAATTCCTGACAGTAAAAAAGGCTTCCTGATAACCTACAATAATATGTAGTTATCCTGTTTCTGTAGACACATGTTTGGGAGCTAAATTAAGTACCTGTTATTCTACTCTGATACATCATCACTTTTATGTTACCCTTTGTGGAGAAGCTCGACTCTGTAGCTCAGACACCTTTGATGTAGAGACTGATACTGGGGGTGCTGAGTGTGATATTGGAATGTGGATTAAACCATTTTGAGGTACAGGAAACAGGATTTTAATTTGTCTTCTGTCCACAATAAACACTAATACTTTTGATGTATTTGGCATAATTTATTATCCTTTTATTAAGTGTACTGTAGATAAGGAGGGAGGTGAAGGATGAGTGGTTTGGCCAACCCCTCCAGCATCCCTTCAGTGGCATTTCCCTTCGTCCATTCTATGAACCATATCAACTGAATGTCATCCCTACAGGAAAAAAACATTCCTAACATGTCAGGTAATTTATTCACTATTTAATAAAGGCTCTTTACAGCCATTGTGCGTTCAAATATTTGTAATTCGTCAGCTGAAGTTGGATGCCCTGAAAACAAAACTGTACAGCAACATCAAACAACAACTTGAGCCTTTCATATCTTTCTCGCTAAAGCAGAGGAACACTGGCATCACCTTACTGCATGTACCTGCGAAACTACTAATGCATCAGTTCTAAAATTATCTTAACTTTCCCATTGTGCCAGGCCCGCCTTTCAGTGTAACCATGGCGACAAATTCACCAGGCAGCAATCATATGAAGTGCTGCACCACTGGATGCCTGTCAGGTTCTATTTCCTTCTGTTCCATTTGCTTTATCGTCTGATTGTTACCATATATCCCTTTCATTGCCTGTGTGTACCATGCCATTCCACGTATGAGTAAAGCAATATTACTGCTTCAAGCAGGACATGAGGAGCACATTTAGCTGTAAAGCCAGATGGAAAAAGGCCGCGTGCCTGTCACTTATATCAGAAAATATCTGATTAGGAAAACAGAACCACGTTGTGTTTTAAAATAACTGGATATAGCACTTAATAGATCAACAAAATCCCATAATGTACCGTTTACACAATTTGAAAGTAAGTCAAGTACAATATTAAACCACCTATTTTTCATTCAGTAGAGATGAAACAGCAGCTGTATATAAGCCAGAGTCTCCTCTTGAATGATTCAGTAGGAGTGGGTGTGTGGACTGGGGAAGCTCCTGTCTGACCACTGACAGCCACAGCTGCATGTTTCAAATGTCCACCCTCAAAATGTCCCCAAATGTTCCCAGTCCCGCTCGTTCCCATCCAGCTGTCTTGCGCCCTGGAGCCCATTGCACTCCAAGACACCCACTCGTGCTCAGTGGCTAAGCAAGGTGAGAATTACATAATGTTGAAAGAAACGGAGAGCAGAGGACGTTTGAAGTGCAGAGTACGGTGTATAATATATGCAGCTGTGAGGTAAAGGCACTAAAGAGCCCACAGGCAACAGGCAGAAAAGAAACTTTGGAAGTGACCCATTTCTTAAAAGAATGTACATCTCACTGAAATGTTAACTAGTTGTGTAAGAAAGAACAAAAGGAAAAAAGATAGTTTGACATTTACAGCTGAGAGGGATCTAACCTTTAAAATGAACATTAATTTTGCGCTTAAAGGCGTAAAATAGAAAAATAAAACAATGCTGCAATGTTGATGATGGAGGCTTTCAACGCTGGCTAAAAAGGGAAGAAGCGTAGTATATTCTACTAACCTCTGCTAAGCCCTATATCGCATCATGTGTTTGTGTTCACTACAAAATGTGAGAAAGGGAGACGTCAGAGCAGAGTGGTAATGACAGTGGACAGAGATTGTAATGAGGCAAAATGTGACCGGCCACTTGTGGCAACATATGGAGAGCGCAAACAATGGCAGGCAAGTGTCTGACTGAATGACCGGATCAGGATTTGCACATTGGCGACTAAAAATAGGAGGACGTCTCCCAAACACAGAGGACTAAGTGTAATAGTGTGTAAGAGGGGCGGGAAGAGTCACGGCTTTGCTTTGCTTCTCTCACACACATCCTGTCTTCTCCTTTTCAAATACACATGAAATACCATGTATACACGCAGCTTGACAAACAGCAGCACACCGGGCTCACTGATCTCCTCATGACCAAACTGCTGCATCTTGGTACACAGCTCAGCTGATAGTTTCCATGGTGACATGAGGCCTCTCAGAATTTGCATAGCAGATGCAGCAAGGCATTCACAAAAACAGGATGTGGAAAACAAGGTGCATGTGATCAAACGCTGGGGAAGATTTACAAATGTACAAATTTGTAATATTCATCGACAGATGAATATTAACAGAGAGGAGTATTTAGTGCCTTTCAAAAGGACGGCGCTCATAATTCATGGAAGGATTGTATAGGTGAACAGGATCGGTCAGCTGCTAATTAACCGGCCACCATGGAAGAAATTTCCGAAGATGGTATCCATTCCAACCAATGTTCCCATGATTAGATTACAGAGAAGTTAGGGAGCTTCATTACTCTGTAAGCTCCAACATGTTTGCAAAAATTCAGACAGACACCAGCCAGAAATTGATCGGAGAAGTAAGCAATTTAGTTGGAGCACAAGAAAAAATGTGTTTGGTTGTGTAAATGCAAACCTAATGTGGGTGTAATTTAGCTTTGACAAGTGCTCACTGAATTTTTTATTGTTTAAAAAAATAGCTGGAGCTTTTTTCATTTGAAATCTTTTCAGTTGTCTGGTTGTTTTTTAGTTTCAGTGGTGGATTGAATATATAATATGTGGATTGATCAATCATGTTCAGAAAAAAAGCTCTGAGGTCTTTATTGGGTTACAATGCTTTCTGCCCAATTTAAAGAGTCCCCCCCTTCCTGAGGGCCCTCTCTATGTTGAAAGACATTGAGGAAAAGGCGTGTGTGCATGTGTGTCACATACTATTCATGATTTGATTTTTGTTGCCATAACAAAGACACGTTGCCATAATGTAACTGTTTAAACAGATTAAGGTCCCCAGAAAACAAGTCATTCCCAGAACCCCTGTGCGTGAATCCTGTTTGTCTTTGTGGTGACTCTCCAGTAATGCATTAATACGCAAAAGTAGTATTTCATTTGCTCTTACTTATCATTTATATTGTTTAAAAGCCTCCCCACCCTACGAGCCAACACACACACATACATATACGTGTATTCGTAAACCTTAGTGCCTGAAGGAAATAATGACGTCAGCGGGAACAATCCTACTTACTACAGTTCTTGAGTGTATATAATGAGTCATCTTGCCACTAGACGTGAGCAAGTGCTTGACGTTTATTTGTGCAGCCCTAAATAAGAGTGCAGGGACAGAGTCACAGTGCTCTTATGTAACCAGAAAGCGATGAGAACACGCATCAAGCTCAGACTCTTAATCACAGTAAGAAAAACAAAATTCTATCCAAAAAAGTACAATTGATTAACTCTGACAGGGAATGTGTGTCTCGGTGCATCCAGAAGGAAAGTTTCCTTTTACAATATTCATCCAAGACTTACAAATGCCAGTAAGCAGCTGGCACTGAGCCATTATCGACCAAAGCAGACACCTGATTTCCACTGCGGAAGACTGCTCAAACATGCCAGTTGTATAAAGTGGTGATGACAGTGACAATGATTTGCAAGTGGAACAAAACCTTAAACTATGGAAGGATTTGTTTAATGCTGCTGCCATCCTAAGGATCTTGGAGCTGAGATGTTAGACAGTAAAGGAGACACAAGTCCTTAAGACAAGAACAGGTGTTTACCAGCCATGGCAGACAAAATCTTTGTGACACACAAAAAAAAAATCACCGTCCTCTCACCATTATGAGCCCTCACTTTGGTTTCCCAGACAGAACACTCGAGAGCAGCGCTGCACTCGCTGAATAAGAGGCTAAACACATGTCAGACTGGTGGATGATGCTCCACACGCTGCCTATATCCATCCAGCCTGCTGTAAACTGGCCGACAGGCAAGCATGCCGGCCCGGCCAATCACTGCCATACATGGAGATTCTGACCCCAGATTAAAACCACCGAGCGAATCGTCTCGTGACCCTCGCATCTCAGTCCTCAAGACAACATTTTTATTTAGAATGAATGTGTTTTTATCTTACTTCCCTCTCATTTATTCCAACCCCCCATGGTTATCTGATCTGACCTTATCTCCAGTTTCTGGCCACACACAAAACTCTGTTACTGATCAAGCCTTACTGGAGGCTGAGTAAACAAAACTTTATTGCCAGTCGAATGGCAGCCACAGTGCTTTGCTTTATGAAAGAAATCAATCAGGGAGCTTTAATTTGCAGCTGTTATCCTCCCCACTACTAATCTGCTTCTTCTGCTGCTAGCGCAGCTGGTGTCATGCCTCGCTGCTACTGTACAGTATTAGAAAGATGCTGCGGGGCGTCCCTCAGTGACCATACCCCCCACCCCCCTGCTCTCAAAGTCTAAAGCATTTTGACTGGTTTTCCATTCTGCTGTCCGCAGCTGTGTTGATCAACCCTCCACTCATCTGTATTGCTAAGAGGTACAAACAGAGATATTTTTGGTTTGATTTTTTTTTGTTTAATCTTGCGATACGGATTCGTAACTAAATCAGATATCCTCTTAGCCAAACCAATTCAATCAACCAAAGTCTGTGAAGGAAAAAACGATAAAATGCTGTGACATTTGGACACTTCAAACAGCTCACAGATGCATTACGCTCTGTGCCCTGTCTACACAACACGGTTGGACATGACCTCTTTTTACTGACTGAGAACAGCCTATTATTATTGTTATTATAGCCCATTGTGTTTTTTTCTAAAGATGGAACGTGGACAGTGTTCCACTTTCATTTTTTGAAAAACGTTTTTTTTTTTTTTTTATAATTATGGCATTTTAAATGGCCGTAATATGTATCTATTTGTCCGTATTTGTACCCTGACAATTGCAAGCCTTTTCAGCCACATCGAAAAGATGCAGATTATATCTGCCTGACCCTTCAATCAGCCATTTTCTCGTCTTCTCTTTGATGTGTTTAAACATTCATCCATTTTCTACTGCTTATTCCCAAAGGGGTTGTGGGGGGACAACAGGCAAGAGGCGGGTGCACCCTGGACAGGTCTTCAGGGCCAAACAGAGACAAACTAGCACACACACTCCACCACACCTCTGTGCTGCCTTTTTTTAAACAAGTCTATGAATTTATTTAACGTTTATCCCAAAGCAATTAATTAACAATTCCAATTAAAAGGGCACCTCCAAAACCATCAAAATATGTAAAAAAATACAACTCACACACACTTTCTTCATCTGTTTTTTGACACTTTGACAGCTGTTTCGCCTCTTGTGCCTCAAGTTATCTGTTCTATTTGTTTTGAACTACTAAAATACGTGCAGGTGTTTGGAAACCTGTCAATTGCTGAGTTTCTGTACCCCAGTTTCATCTCCAACAGTACCGACACCCGCTTATACAACAGTAGGGGTCCTAAAAAAAGTGCATGGGAAGGGCAGCCAAAAAACAACAAAGAGCTTCTCGACATCTTGGGTACACACTGGTTCTGTGGGAACCAAGCCTTGTTCACAAAGACCCCACCTACAACCCACAGGGCTCAAAGGACACTCTGAGACAGCCTATCTTGCTTTTTGTGCGCATCCTGGTTGGTCATGGCTCCTTCAGCAGCATAAGGATAAGCCTAACATTAGGCAGGGAGTCAAATAATAATGTTATCCATGGGTAAAACATGTGTCTGTGAGAGAAAGTACAATTTCCAGCAAGGGTCACGGGAATTTCCACTATCACTTTTTGACTTCATATAAAAAAAGTAGTGTTGGTAAAATTAGAAGACAAATCTATGGAGATTTGGCATCACAGTTGTTTTTATTATAGACAGAGACAAGGTTGCCCAGGAACAGCCCCTGGAATTTCCATCTAATGCTGGCTTTGAGAGGGATTGATTAAGATAATTCTTAAGATAGATTGATTAATATTAATAAGACACAATCTTGTCTAGTTGTCAAAGAATTCTGTCTGGCTATGCCTCTTCTGAAATGGCCACACGAAGAACAGGATTGCATAATAGCATAATAGGATCAAATCAACTTAATTTTAAATCAAAACAATGTAAGAGAATAAAATATATCATGGCCTAACATGTCTCACAAGGTAGATGTTTTTCCCAGAAGGCAGCTAATCAACCTGGCAGCCTTCGGATATTTCCACATACTGGCTAGAAGTCTCTATTAGCAGTATGTGGAGAGTAATGGCTTTTATTAGCGTTTTCAAAAACCAAACACGTGAGAACAAGTACGTGCTTGGTGCTTCCCATAACTCATGACACTGATCAAACCTCAGTCCACATTTTATCCCAAGCAGTTTTTTTAGACCCTCTGGCTCTGTGATGGAACCAGTGTTTAATTTTAGTGCTTCAAGAAGAGCATGAGATAAACAGCTCTCACTACAACTAAACTGAATCTGTTTCTACAACAACTCATAAACTTTGTTACAGGTTGTCATTTGAGCAGTGATTTACTATTTTAACAGATGTAAATTATATCCAGTGGCTTATGGTCAATTGATAGTTTGAATTGTGATTACTGGGGACCTGTTAATGTTATCTCCTGAATAAGCATTGAAGAGTGAAGAACAATCAAATTGAAATCAAAGGCTCCAAACCTAAAAAAAAACACTAAAGGCAGCAGGTTTGCAGAAAGAAATAAAGAGTGCAGGGAAATATGATTGAACTCAAAAGACAAAAATACAGAAAATGAGAGCACCACAGCTCTAAAAGTCATGTAGATTAATGAGACAGAAATCTGACTGTGTCAACATGATTGAAGCAGGAATGATTTGGTAAAAAAGTAGCCCTGCTCACAACCCAACACATCACCTCATTTGTCATTTGTAATGACTTTGGCATTTATGGCCGGCACACTGGCTTTTATTGATGACAGCTCTGCTAACAGAGGCACCATTCTGAGTACCAAAGTACAAAGGAGCATTTTGAGTGCACAGTTTCAAAGAAATGCTAAAAAAACTCGGTCAACCGTATTCAATGCAACTCTTTCTGTAGAATCCAAAAATGTGCGGCCAAAGAAAAACAGTGCTGTGAAGAGAAGAGGAATATTCTTTAGTGACCTAAACTCGACTGTCAGAGAGAGCTACCTCATCCCAAGGTCCCTGAGATTTGGCCACTGGACCAAATTATTCTAATGTACTGGAGGGAAGAAAATCATTTTTCAAAACTCTTCAGTCATGCAGTCAGAAAAATTGAGTTATTTCAAAGGACGTTGGATTCTGAATGATTGATGATTTTTGGACTGTAATTTAAGGAAAATAGTTCTAAAAAAAAGAAGGAAGTCTACAAACTATTGTCCAAACAATGATTTCTGGCTGGGATTTGAGTTAGAACAATAAGCCAGAAGGTTAACAAATATGTTATTGTTCTGACACAAAAATGACGACTGCTAAATTAGTTGGCTGACAAAAGTTCAGTGGAAAGTGTTGTTTATGCAACAGACTGAACAGTAGAGGAAAGCACTGCCAGTGCACAGAGGACTCAACAGTCACACCACTGAAGCCTTCGGGACCTTTAGGGCAATTGGCCTAAAACCAAGTCATCAATTCATCCAGACACCCGTGTCAGCAGTTCCCTGGGCTTCTCCACTTGGAGTCAGATAAATGGGACAATCCCACAAGTAAGACTATCCAAGTTCTACTAGTTGAGTCTGTGTTTGTGTCCACAGAGAGCTGCATCAGAAACCACAACTATCTTAATGTAACAACTAGGGAGTCAAGTTCCCCACAGTTCACCAACCCTTTCAATTTAATTCACCCTCCTCAGTTTACACAAGACCCGTCTTCTCAGCGTTGGTTCTCCTTTAAGAATCAAGCTGTGTGGGATAGAATGCAAAGTCATTACCATACATATAATTTGACAACAGTTGTGACTTGATCGTGTATACTGGATGACATAACCATAATATCAAACCTAATGCTATATATCACAGCAGATCCCATGAGCCATGTGATCGTGGAATGACTGTGCAGTGTAATCTTTTCTGTTTATCTTCCATGATTCTCTAACTTTCAGTGTGTGAACTATATTCCATTCCCTTTCTTTTCCTTTACACATTCCTATTACTATTTCCATACCTATTTCCTTCCCTCGACCCACTTCCTGCTGGGTGTATATAGCCGTGGCCTATATCTCACACCAGGCCGAGGAAAGGTGATGTGAGTGTGAATGGTGTCTGGTAGAAAGAGAAGGGAAGCGACAGAAATAGGAGCAGCCAGTATAGCCTGAGGAAAACAAGGACTCCTGACACTGCTGACTACATATTAGTGAGGTGGTAACTAAAAACTCACACAAGCTTCATTTGCAATGTGTGTAGTACTTGGACAACATTTAAATACAAACAGATGATTACCATTTTTCCGGGATCATTCTAATGAGAAACACCGTCATATCAGTATTTCATTGTGTTCAGTGGATCTCAAGTGAGGCGCTAGAAGAGGTAGAGAGAGCTTTTAGCTACTCCCAACATATTTCCTCAATAGTCATCTCCCTCTGAGGGGATCTGAGGCTCGAGTTACTTGTCTTCAACACTCTGTGGCTACAGCAGAGTAGTAATGACAGCAAATGAACATCAGTTCTTCTTAAGTCAGCACATCAGAGATGCTTCACCTAATTACCATCAACATTATGATACCCATACCATAGGGATGCCGCCTTAATCTTCAATCTCATAACTCTGAAGGGTACATGTTCTACACCCACTTTTGCTCCCTCTGTCAGTGCAGTTTGACTGGCAGGCCCAGCGGGGGATTTGTCGTCACCTTTGCCACTGTGAATGATAGTTCTACTGTCACACCTTACAGTTGATTGGCCAATTGACG